TCTTTGCCGTTTCGTCTTACTCTTAATGATTATTCACGTATTTTCAAAGTCTCAGTGACGCTGTTCCTTTCTGAAGACCATTTTTTCAACTTGCCATCTTATATAGCTACGATCGTGAAGAAGATCGGTATATGTGTTGGAATATGCGTATGGAGATCATTATCTTTGCATCTTGATATTGAAGATCAAACAAATATAAAATTCATGAAAGGGTGAAAGGCTGAACATGACAATTTTGAAAACAACAGATGAGAAGAGGATAGAGATGTAAAGGAATCGATTTCCATCGCGCTCAACGACGCCTTTCCCTTCGAGCATATAATTCCTTGACCAGCCAATCTTGGGCGAACTGGTTTGCCAGTTCCATGACTTGCAACCTCGTGTCTATCTCAAGTCGATCCCTATCGACGAGGCCCGATCTGCACTTGTTTTCGACGAAAGTGCACAGTTGTGCCACACGCACAACTGCCAATGAGGACGCCTGGTTATAGATTAAAAAAAAATGCAACCAGTCAATCAAACTATTTTTCTTGCATGTAGTGTACCATAATTTTTGAAAGTTTTCCTACCAATATTCGGAGCTCGATTGCTTCTTGTTCCAGCTTGCGATAATCGCCGCTGCGTCTTTCGATCAGGATGGCAGTTTAGTTAGTACTTAGCACCGTAAGGATAATTGAAAATTGAAATCAATGACAAATGAAAACCGCGACCAAAGCTTACAAATAATCCATCATAGCCCATATACACTTTGACGATGGGTAAAAATAGTTTGATATCTGCTCGTCCAGGAAGGGCTGTTGTTGATCGAGCCTGACAAGCTCAGCAAACAAATCCAAGTCGATGATCTACAAAAGTTGACGAATGTGTTTGAGTGAGAATTGGAGAGGTAGAAAGATATGTTATTTGAGCCAGGAGCATTTTCTTACATCGCCCATTTTTACTAATATGTCGGTGTTTGATAAGGGGGAGTGGAGTGGGTTTTTTCTTAGGAAGTTTGAGATGAGAAGGCCTTTGGCTGTTTGGATTGATGTCAAGGGAAGTGAGTGGCTTGGATGGGGACCAACAATTTCGAGGCTGGATCGAGTCTTATTTATACACGAGGACCAGCCAGAGCGGGCATGCTCCTCTCTCAGTCACGAGCCCTGATGAGAGCAGTTTTTGCCTTTGGCTGAGAGATGAGTCTTCAGCCTGAGTACTGTACCATAATGCTACATGAGCGCCCTTGCGCTTGTTGATTAGACAAACACTAGAATCTAGAGTGATGTGCACAAAACAGCCGGTATTGCACACACTGATTTGAAGTATACCGCCGGATTTGAATCTTACCGCCTAGAAACCTGAGCTGCTACAACCTAAGTAAATATCTGGTGAGTTAGACCCTACTTGAGTATAGTTTCTACCCGTGCCTGAGTGAGGAGTCGGATTACTTCATTCGGTGAAAAGAGCGCTGAGTGAGTGCCCTCATGCTTGTTGATTGGACAAAAGCCTTCAGAAAAGGGCAAACAAAATGGCCTGGTTACCACACACGCACCGATTCTGGTTTGATCACCAAAGCCTGATTGGCTGTTTGAGTTAATTTGACTCAGTGCACACCCTGGACTGAGATTTCTTGTTTTTGGTGATGTGCATTTCTCAGTTTTGTGACCGATCAATCTTGAGCCAGGCAATGGTGTCAGATTGGGAGCCTTTGAGCTGCACGCCGTGTTGACCTGTGATGGTTGACGGAAGAGGCTCATCAAACACCACATTTTCATAGGGGAATAATGAGGGAAATCATTTCGTCCAAAAAGCTCATGTGATTCACAAAACCAATCGAATGCATCTCACAACTATTGAACCAACACATGGAGTTATTCAGATTTCCAGAGCCACTTTTGGGCCCTGTGTGGCAGCGTCACAAAGTTAAGTGTTATATTACCTGGTTAATTGAATACAAATGGAAAATATGTAGCAAAATTGTTACTCAGGCAAGCTCAGCTACTGATTTCAAGTTGAGCAAGAACAAAGTTGAGATAATGGGCTACCTTGAGCACCATTATACTAATATTACTCTTTTTACCCATATCAAGTATAGTACTGACACTATGGGGTTGAAGATGGCCTAAGATATCAATTATTTTGTGTTCTCAACATTGGTGAACCCAGTAGTTGAACTTGCCTAAGTAACAATCTTGTTACATGTTTCCAATCTGTTTAATTTTTGAATCAATCAGATAATATTACACCTAAACTTATGATGCTTCCAAACAAGGCCTTGGATATCAAGTGCAAATCAATCCAAAAAGAAGACATAGTCAGTGTGCCCCAAACAGGGGAAAAAAAAAGTAAATACCTACCACCAAGAAAGGGGCAAAGCTGCTACGGATTGGGTGAATTTGAGCTCAGTAAACCTTGAGGAGATGTGTGCTGTTACCCAAGCCTTGTGTTGAACATCTATTTCAACCTACCCAACTTCTGGGAACCTAGTGGTCTCTCAATCCATTCTTGCCAGAAAATCAAAATAATCTGGAGGATGTCCTTCTAAGTTGAAATCTTTGATGACAACAGGAAGTCATCCAGTGACTGTCAACCTCACACAGTGACAGTGACTGTGCAAAAAAAAAAACAGTCATTTAGCAACAATGTGCCAGCCAAAACAGCAGCTACATGAACCGTAACACATATGATTATGAACAGCATCAAGAGTATTTGAGTGTATGGATTCATGTCAACATCCAAATCAATTTGAAGAATGATGAGAGAGAGGAACAGGAAGCGGGGAAAGATAGGAAGGATGATTGAGGAACACTAGATAAGCCAAGCAAGAAGAGGAAATCAATGGAAAAAAAAGTTCAACTCAGACCCAATAAATCAAAGAGCCGAGGAAAGAAAACAAGGGAAGAACCCAAGTAAGAGGGACAATCACAATGAATTTCTTGAGCACACATCTTTATATATATTCATGTATCTTAACATTCTTGTGGCTGGTGTTAAATGGGATTTAATTTCAATGGCTACGGTTTGATAGCTGTGGACATCAAGTAATATTTGTGTGTGCTTGTGTGTGTGTGTGTGTGTGAGAGTACATGTGTTGTTATGATCTCCTGCTCCTTCAATAATACCTGTATATGTAATGTAACATGACAACGGAATGAGCCAAAAAAGAGGAAAGAAAAAAAAAAGAGTTGCAGGGTGTGAAAACAGGGAACAGAAAATGCTGTGAAAAGTTAGGATAAGTGCTATGAAGAATCCAGTCAAAAGAATCTGTTTTTTTTTTCTTTGTTATTTTTATTTTATTCATGTATAGAAGATTGACCGAGGAAAAAAAAAAGAAGAAGAAGAAGAAGAAGGGGTTGAATTTCAGTGAGAGAACCGGGGAAGAGGAGGGGGATCAATCGTAATCGAACGGAGGTTCGTAATGTTCCTCGTCATACCAACGGTCGGGGTCGAGCCAATCAGCAGGATCAGGGCGATACTGAGAGTCGTCGGCTGCCGTCGAAGATTGTGGAGCGTTCCGATCCCCTCCTCCACCACCTCTTTCCCCTTCTGCTCCACCTCCCTCTTCCGCATTATCCTCGCTGCTATCGTTGGTATTGACAAGTGAATATCGACTGTGTACGCAGGATCAAACGTTCAATCATCATCAGTACGCTGAATATCAAGGGATAAAAATTTGCTTTCTTGGTTTATGTATAACCATGCTCTTTCCTAAACCAGAGAGAAAGCTGGTGGTAGACTTACCATACCGGGCAAGAGCCATTCTGCTTCAACCATAAGACGATGCAGTCTTCATCGTGGAAGAAATGTTTACAGGGCAATTCCATACATGAATCACCGACCGTAAAGGTATCTTTGCAGATTGCACATTCGATAGAATCCTCCTGGCCTATATAAAGAATTCAACAAAAGTTTGTTCAAACAAACTTCAAAGACACGATGAGGAAGGATTAGCGTGTACTAACCAACACAAGAAGCATCAAATTTAAATTTCCTCAATGATTTGATAGTAGAGTCAGAAGCGGGGATAGGATTATGGCCGCCATTAGCGCCCGTCATATTGATCAACTGATTCAAGATATCCTGCATGGCCGAGTCACTGGCCACATAATCGCCCAAGTTCTGGCCGAAGGGGCCATTATGATCGATGTCGAGCTGGGTAGTAAAGCCGAAGCCTCCGGTGGGCCCGTTGAAGACAAACCCATTCATGCCGCCGTTCCGACCCATCGAGCTATCGGTCTGGTTGAGCGAGTTGAGAATGTTGATGAATTGGCGTAAGGGGTGGGATTCCTCAAGGTTCACCCGAGGTGACCTCGGAGTGGGACGGGGATGAGTTCGATGTCCAGCGTCCCCAGGTCGATCTTCGTCAGCATTGCCCGCTCGAGTTTCTGGTGATCCAGATGAAGGTGGTGAGGATGAGGATGATGGTGATGGGGGCTGGCTATTTAAAGTAGCTCTTTCGGCTGCTGGGCTGTCTCCAGCATGATTGCTCTCTGCCGTTCGACGCTCGTTTTCGGGGGCTGCGCTATCTGAGGGAGTCAGGCCAAAGGCAGACTGAAGTAAACTAGATAAATTTCAGAGAAGATCGGATTCAATGCGTTGGAAAGGGATAAACCAGGTTTAGCTTTCAAGATCCACTTACGATAAGAGTCCATTGAGAGGTTGTTGGGGTGGGTTAGCGGTGGTGGCGAAGGTGAAGCCATCCTGGGTTGGGGCTCGTTCACCTGCTGATGGTCTTGCTGGTTCTGTTGAAGGACTTTGATCAGCGGAATGATCATGTGCCTCATTAGGATTACTGAGGTTTGGGTCTGAAGGCCGGGAGCCAAAGGTGAAGGTATAAATACCCTGAGCAGCTTGACGAGGACTAGTGGAAGGATTCGGACTGTGTTGGTTGTTGCTGGTGGCGGTGTTATAATTGCTGGTATCGACGTCAGCCTGGGCTGATCGGT